TATATATATATATATATATATATATATATAGAAAAAGATTATACACTATAATAGCATAGGGAAACCATCTTTAGCTAGTGACTTATGAACCGATATGTATATATATATATATGAAATTTTTTTTATAGAGTCGAGGCTATAAACAATCAAATTAGTGCCCACCTCAAAAATTTCACTAGAAGAAATTGTTTTGATACCCAAATATCCTTAAATTTGGTCATCTCAACATCAAGATGCATGGACATGAGAAAAAAAAAAAAAAAAGGGATTTCATGTTTTGAAAATAGTGCACTTGTAATGGATTTTTGGACTGTCAATTTTCAAGTTTTTATATATTTGCTGGATCTATACTAATTTTGAAGCTTTAAATTTTATAATTAAAGCTAAAAAATAAATTTTAAAGCTATCACAAAAATTTACAGCATTGAAACCACATTTATCAACACTATTTAAAAGTGCGTTTTACTTTGATTGTTTAAAGTCTCGGCTCTATACAAACCGCATCCATTTAAATATTAAATTAAATATATATATATATTATTTAAATATTATGACTAAAATATATAGTTATATTTATTTTAATATTAATAAATATATTATATGTTAAAATTTTTTTAATTAATAATACTATTCAGGTCAAGTCCACATGGACCCAGACCCGAATAATACTTAGGTCCAATGCTTGGATTTGGACCCAACCTGCTGGGGCCAAATTTTGAACCCAGGACCTAAGTTGGATCCCCTATTGGGTCCGGGTCCATTGCCAACCCTAAAGCACATATACCTTGCTTGCCTCCGGATGTAAAGTAGGGAGCAAGCAATGAACCTAGGTATTTCCATTTGGAAGCCTATAATAACTCATATGACATTTCGCTCACGTTTTCGAGTGTAAGACTGTAATGAGCGGCTCGCAGTCTGTCAACGGCTACTGCTCCTTTACGCGCCCTCGCCATGGCCACGGTCTTAGAAACACTGCCCGATTCTCTCATAGAACCACCATTAACCTTAACCCTAGTTTTAGGAGGCTCTCTGTTACCTTTGCATCTCTCCGGCGTCGTGGTAGAAGCCGGAACATAGGCAGCAATGTTGATCGCAGTGATCAAAAGCTGGAAATGGTGGTGGATCTCAAAAGAATGAGAACCCAAGTCTCTGAATCCCTGAATCTTTTATTAATCAATGGGAAGGAGGCCCTAAAAGATCTGCAGGGCCTAGTCACTATTGATGGCAACGATCGAATCACTGTATCTTGTCGCAGGTCTTCCTTAGAATTCATCGCCTATACCTTTGTCTTGGCCCTCTGTATTGTGTTTGTGATCAGGGTTTTGTTGAAATTGGGTTCTCGATATGGACTGTACAGCAATTGGGGTCTTGTCAGGAGGAGGGACAGGAGTCTTGGAGGGAGAGAGGTTGTTGTTGGGTTGAGGACGAAGGGAAAGGACTCGTCTGCTAAAATTAGGGTTTCTAATTCTATCAATCCATTGTCCAATGTTGGTGGTGCCCTGGGTATTATTTCAAAGAGGAATTCAATGAATCACTTCAATAAAGCGGAAGAAGAAGATGAAGAAAAGTTGCCAAAATGGTGGCCAGATGCGGGTTCTTCTGTGATCATGGCTCTGCCCAAGGATGAATACCAGAGAGAGGCGAATAGAATGATTCGAGGTTTGTTATATAGTAAACGGCAAGCTCTTCTATCAGGTTGCATATATATATATTTTTCATTATTTTGGGTCCTAAACTCAACCAAACAAGAGTTTGATTAATTTATTTTTTTGTAGGTAATTTCTGCAACCTTATCATAAGATACCATTCCTCAAACCCATCAATATTTTTGTTGGAATCACTGGCTACCTTTATTTCCAGCCATTATGGACAAGAGAATGAGTGGAAGGGATGTTACCGAAGATGATATCATACAAGTCAGTGAGTCCATTTCATTTCTATGAATGAATAGATCGTCTATGAATGAATATATCGACTTGCTTGCGTGGCCTGCAATTATGGATCTTGATATGTTTCTGTATTTCTTTGCAGCGTGTAACTTCCCGTAAACCTGCAGTGCCCCATGAAATGATTATGTTCTTTATAATAAAATGGATACATAGTATTAGAAAGTATCTGTTTTTTATGAGCTAAAGTTGCACAACGACATTTATTTATGTTACCCCAACAAGGACATTGCTTTGCGAATCTGATGCATGTCTAAGTGCCAAATATGGCAGCCTAAAGTTGAGACACGAGAAGGCACATGTTGAAAAAAATAAGTGGAATATTTGGTTTGATGGGCTTGATCAATTATGCAACATACTAAGAAAATTTGGGGTAAAAAGAGAACTTTTTATTCAATTTTTTTTGGGTTGCATACATACTTCATATTTTTCTAACATTTTATCTCTTTAGGGCTCCTTGGCCTCATAACTATCTTTTGTACTCCCTCTAATTTTCTCTTTCTAACTTTCTCTAAGATACCCATAAGCTTCATGTGACCCCTCTTTCTCTCAATCCCTCTACTCGGAGATTATGACCAACGCAACTTATCTTGTTCATTGAACTCAAAGGGCCAAGAGTGCTTGTGTTGCAAGTTATTCCCCACCTTTTTAAATCTGAAGTACTTTTCTATCTCATCAAATCCTACCTTACCAAAACACATTACGTAGGACCCCACTTGTCCCTCAAGTCACTAACCTCCCTAATCAATCACTTTCATAACTATGTACACACCGAAAAACAAAACCAACGACTTCAACAATGGACTTTTGAGACTCATGGCTCGGAAAAAGCAGAAATGTAGGACTCTATTTGCAATCCAAATTTTTGTGTGGACTAGACATGTTTTGTCGTGCGAGGGATGTCCAGACGGTGAAAGTTGCCTAGGCCTGCTAGGCCACAATGCACGGATAGGTGACTGGTGTGAGAAACACCTTCTTGGAAGTAGAGCTATGAGCATGTAAGCGTGACGATGACTCAATTAATAAATTTTCTCAGAAAGTGAAGGATCTTTGTGATAATTAGAAGGGATGGACATTGAGCTGGAGAATGGATTGTCTCAGAAAATTTAAGGACCGAGTTTGATGACATGAGGGTGTTGATTCAAAAATCTAAGCCACCCATGGAAGAAGCTATAAGCTATTGCTTCAAGAGGAAGCATTTCTTAAAAGAAGGAAAGGTGAGTCAAATACTAGTTCCAAGAAAGTTGAGGATCATAACGAGGCTCTATTTACAAACTCTTGTGGGAGGTCTCATAGTAGAGAAGGCTATCATGGTTTTGGTAGGCCCCAAAATAATAAAGATCTCGATCACAACATCTTAATAATGAGCAAGTCAAGTCTCGTAATGCCAAAGATCAAAGAAAGGTTCCCCTTACACTTATGGAAAAGTTGGACATTATGCCAGAGAATATTGGCATAACCAAGGAAACTATGTTGGCAAAGGAAAACATGAGGGAAACAAATCTTGTGTGGAGGAAATTGAAGAGCACTTTGTGTCAGTGATGTACATGAGACCGATGGTATATAGATTCAAACATGCTCATACCATATGAGTCCAAGAGGTGATCTCTTCACCACCAAAGACCTCTCATTGATGAATATTCTAGGTGCACGTGGATTTATTTTTTGCAACGCAAATACGAAGTATTTGGGTATTTTGAAGAAGTTAAAGTACTCAGAGAACAAGTTCAATTAAAGAATCAATAGTTTTAGGACAAACAATGGTGGAGATTTTATGGTAGAGGAATTTGATGGTTTCTTGAAAAAGAACGGGATAAAAAAGGTAGCTTACATTTGTTGGGGCGCCTCAACAAAAGATGATTGCTAAGAGGAAGAATCAATGCATTGTGGAAGCTGCTCGTAAATGATGAATGGAATAACTTGCTTAAAGTGTATTGTTTTGAGGCAATGCGCATTGTAGTGTACATCAATCACATGTCATTGAGATGGAATAAAGGTGTCGTATCAACTTCTCTATAAGAAGAAACTCGATATTACACATTTGCATGTTTTTGGGTGTGTAACCTATGTGAAGTAAAGTGCACGTTGGCCTTCAAAGGTGCTTCTTGCTTTCTCAGACCCTGGTCCATCAAGGAAGGGTCCTTCAAGCAGGAAAGAATTTGGCCCACACTTAGACATATCCCTCTCCACTTATGGTCCCCTGGTACCTTCAAAAAATAGCGGAGGCGTGTGGGAACCTTATTTCCATACACTTGATTTCCATGGAATCCCTCCCTATGGACTCCATTTGCCTTCTTCTGGAAGTCGTCGACGCTGTTATGATCCCCAAGATCATTTGGATTGCAGCGGAGGACCTTTTCTATCCTGTTTCTTTATCGTGGTCTCAAGCGCCCCCCCCTCCTCCTCTCTCCGACAAGCAGCTCCCATTCCGACGCCGGAGTCCAGATCAGGTTGGTCGGTGGTAACTAGGAAGAAGAGACGCCCTCCCAGGAAGCAGCCTTTCCCCCCAGACCCGGGATGATCTTTGTCGGGTGGTAAAAATGGCCATTACAAGGTCGATCCTATCCAACTTGAGGAGGAACACTTGATTGCCTGTAGGTCGGTGGCCCAGGGCGTCCTTTCGAGGCCCGAAATAGAGAACCGGGTCAACTCTCCATCCACTCCTCTTGCCCCTCTTTTTGCAGCTCGACCTTGCCCTAATCCCCCTTTTTCTCCTTCTACCTCTCTCCCTCCTAATGATCTTCGTACGCTTGACTGAGTGGGTGACCCCAACTCACTAGTCTTGCCCACCAAGTCTCCAGCTGGAACCCACCTGGCCCTCCCTTCTGCCACCTGTCCCTCTTCTAGCCCCATCTCCTTACACATGGCTTCACCTCAACGGTCACCTGCCCCATCCTCGAGACCCACCCCTATCCAGGTGGCTGCATGCTCCCCCTCATCATTGCAGCCGCCCTCGTTGACCCATGTGCCCTTTTCTTCAGCCCTTGATCTTGCCGTGCTGTTGACGTTGCGTCAAGTGCCCGCGAGTCCTCCTGCTAGCCCGCCGTCTTCACTGTCTACCTCGGCTGTTGCGCCGCTTTCCACCAACCTTCCCCATCACTCTACAACATCCCCCCCGCCCAGTTTGTCTTCCCTCTCTTTCCTCTACCCCCTCCCTTTCGCCCTGTTCCTCCGCCTCTTCTCTCCCTCACTGCCCCTCCTGTCCATCTCCCCTGATTCGCCTCCTCCCCCTTCGCTTTTGCCCCCTCCTTCTTGCCTTACTTCCACTCAGCCACCCTTCCACCCCTCAGAAACGCCCTCCTTTTCCCTCCCCTTATCCCTTGCCATCTCGGTTCTACCTCCCTCCAATTCTACTCTGCCTTTCCCCTTTTTTACCCTCATTCCCATTCCTTCTCTGCCTCAATGGAAGGAACCTCTCTTCCCTTTGCCGTCGCCACCATCCTCTCCAGGGATCCCTCACCGCCTCCCCGGAAGAGATTGCTGCTATCCTCTCCCCTTATCTTCTTTTCTCACCTCGTGTAATTAATGTACGACAAGCGAACATGCATCTGGCATGTATTCCCCCTACCGCTTTGTTCCAGGTAGCAGGCCCGGATGAGATTTTCCTGTACCAATTTCTGACATTCCTCCTGGAGGCGTCTTCTCCCCCTATATCTCCTGGAGCCCTCCCTCTACCCCCTATCCTCCCTTCTCCCCTCTCCCCTCTCTACCCTCGCTCAACCCCTCTCGCCGACTCAGTGGTCCCCCATCTTGCCTTACACCCCACAACCTTACATAATCATCTCTTCTCATCCCCCCGCACTTTCCCCTCCTTTGTGGGGGACAAGATGCCACCTCGTCCCACATTAGCTCAGTCTCTGTTCCACCCCCCACCCCCTGGTGCTCTCCTTAGCTCTCTCCTGCCCCCTCTTCCTCCCTCGACGACCCTTGAAGTACCCCACCGCTTACCCTCTTCGGCCTGCTTCCCTTGCACAGCAGTGCCCACCTCGCCCCAGTACCCCTGTTCAATGGAGCCCCCTTTTAACCCAGCGTTTGATGGTCCCAGCCTACCTGCCTGCCTCCTTGCTCCTGAGGCAGAGTCCAGTTCGCGGCAACCTCCGAAAGATGACCTTCTCACAGGCTGTAGTTCCAGAGATTCCAACCCCAAGGATTTGGACAGAATGAAAGAAATGTACAAAGTTATGGGTTTCGAATATGACGGACCCCGAGGGACCAGCTCATCGCTTACTTCAGGCTGACCCTCAGAGCCGTATGAAGGTGAGACATAAGGGCCAAAGAGAGCTCGTTAACCTCTTTTCTTCACTCCCTCAAGCCACCCCAAGTCATTCACACAATTGGTTTCACCCTAACACCCAACCGAGGAGGTCACCCAAACAGACCACCTCCAAGAGCACCCCCCCTGGCTTGGAAATAGCTTCTCTTCCGCACCCCTGTTGGTGCTTAGGAGGGGATTTTAACACTATTCGGTGGGCCCACGAAAGAAACTCTTCCCATCTAACTCCAGGAGTATGAACGTCTTTTCGAATTTCATTGCTCGCAATGAGTTAGTTGATATCCCCATCCAGGGAAACAAATTCATGTGGTCCAACCACGCGCAGCAACCCACTTGTTCTAAGCTTGATAGATTTCTTTTGTCTATCGAGTGGGAGCAAGCATTCCCTGGTTCACTTGCTTATACCCTACCCAAACCCACCTCCGACCATTGGCCTATTGCCCTGGACATTGAACCAGTGCATAGAGGCCCCAAACCTTTCAGATTCGAACTCGCCTAGTTACAAGAGGCCTCCTTGTTGGAGCTGATCCTTGTTTGGTGGAATTCTTTCTCCTCAACAGTCACAGGAAGGGCGGGTTACAGATTCCAAACTAAACTCCAAATGCTCAAAGGTGCCTTGAAACGGTGGAGCACGACCCACCTGGGAAACTACACCAATAACAAAAACTCCTTGCTCCAAATCATCCAGTCTCTGGAC